AAGAGAAAGTTGCAGCAAGCGGAGAAAAAAAAATAAAGTGAAAAAGTTCAATGACAGTGACGAGAAGGCATAAAGAGGAAGTCACAAAAACCGTTTTGTGTTTTAAGATAGACAGTACTTGCCACCACCTATATAGGCAGCATCACCTTCTCAACTAACATAACGATGGCAATAACTTGCTCCCTTCTATTATTGCCTCTCTTCTATTTGATTGTCCTTTTCTCCGTTGTTGGTAATTCTGCAACTACTGCTATTACTGCATTCTCTCAAACTTCTATTGTTCTTTCTTTCATGTCTTTAGTACTGATTAATGTCATTGTCAATTCCATAATTCAAATAGCTAGATAGATCTTTCCACATTATTTTAGTACCATATAACTTTGAATTTGAATTTCCCTCTTTTGAGATACTAGATTGATATAAAGTCAGGTTTTTAGCTAGCAAGGTAATAGAAACCAAATTGAATCCTTTGTATTTATATATTTATGGATTCAAAAATAGAAGAATGTGAGTAAGGGGGCTATATCTCAGTTTTTGCATCCATCATGTCCTTTTTTCTCTGCGTCTTTCCAAATGTGAATGCATTAATTAATTTCTATTAAAATAGAAGATTCGGATTGTGCAAAAATTATTGCTAAGTTGATAAATCATGACAATATCATGACAAAAAAAATAAGTCTTTCATTCCCCCGTGGTAAACTTGAGTCTAAACGTGTTTCTTCTTGGCTACTGCAGATGGGGCTCAACTGATTCTAGTGAACAATTGTGTAGACAATGTGTGGCCAGGAATACAAGGCAGTGCAGGGCAACCAACTCCAAAAGATGGAGGTTTTCATCTTGGGATTGGCGAGAGAAGTAGTATTTGACGTACCAGAGAAATGGTCAGGAAGAATCTGGGGAAGGCAGGATTGCAGCTTTGACAGCAATGGAAAAGGCTCATGTGTCACCGGCGATTGCTTTGGGAAAATTGACTGCGGTGGGAAGGGAGGGATGCCGCCGGCTACGGTGGTCGAAATGACACTGGGATCATCTTCTTCTCCATTGCACTTTTATGATGTGAGCTTGGTGGATGGGTTCAACCTGCCTGTGTCCATGAGAACCTGTGCGGCGTGGGTTGGGGGGTGGGTGTGGGGTGGCTTCTTGTGAGGCGGACTTGAACATTTGCTGTCCATCAGCTTTGGAAGTGAAGAAAAATGGTAAGGTTGTGGGGTGTAAGAGTGCTTGCGTGGCTATGCAATCAGCTAAGTATTGCTGCACGGGGAATTATGCAGATCCAAAGACTTGCAAGCCTACCATATATGCTCTCCTCTTCAAGGCCATATGTCCTAAGGCTTATAGCTATGCATATGATGACTCTAGTAGTCTCAATAGATGTAGGGCTTCCCGGTATGTGATCACGTTCTGTCCTCCCCAAACCTAATATAGATAGTTGCAAGAATTTCTTGCAAGAATGAAGTTAGAGCTTCTGTCATAGATCTAGAAAATTGTCCATATCACTAGTGAAGGATTGTCGTCTACTTTTTTATTTTATCAGTAATTTTATCATTCTATCTGTTGGCCAAGTTTTCCGTACAAGAAAGAGAAGGTTTTACAACAAACATGCATCTGAAAACGCAAGCAGGAACAATATTCTCAAAATGGACAAAACATTAAAGGGGATTACACAGTGGAAGTATATGGAGGATGACATAATATTAACGAAATTGAATAAAGAATTAGTACCTTGAAATTGTTGCTTTGGTTCTCACCAGAACTGCTATGCACTAAGCTTAATTTTATTTAATTATTAGGATTTAGGACCATATTCGGCTGCTCACTGTATAAATTGTATGCGAAAGATGGCTTAAAAGGCAGGAAAATCAGAGACTGTAGCCACCTGCAAAAACACACAGGCGCTTTTGCTTTTCATGTTTGCATCTAGTTACTGTAATCAATGACCGAAAATAGTCTCATGTCCATGTCAACATTTGTCTAACGCGTCTGATTTATCTGAACAGTCTGATCAAAAGCAAGTCATTCATCAGAACCAGGGGATTAAAAAAAAAAATCTTAGAAATTGGCCATAATAAATTGATATATCAAAGATTTTAATACGCATCACATTTTCCCAGGTTAATTTATCGGGGCTATGCGTTTACAACTCAAAATCAAGACTTCAAGCAAATTCCCTCCCGTGAAGCTTAAAACTATACGTATTAATGGAAGGCAAATATTAGAGATACATCGTGCAATCATTCTAGAAAATTCGAAGAAAAACCAACCTACGGAATGAAGGAAAGAAAGATTACATGTTCACTGTAGGATAGTGCAAGAGTACCCACACAGCGAACCAGAAACACAAAAACTGACAAAACGAGTTAACTTTTATTGAGGAGGATCTCTCTGGGCATTGGCGTCCGGTCCTCTACTTGAGCTGTCTCGATCATTGGGGGGAGCAGGTGAAGGTCCTGGCCCTAAAAGCAAAGGGGCCTTACTCTTCTCACTACCAGAGTCTTTAGTCGAATTTGGATTTGCAGCCCAGGCCCTAAGAGGAGGCTCAAAATGTTGGCTAGCAACATCTGGTGGGGGTGCATCTTCTCCGGGAAGAACAAGAAGACCTTTCTCTCCAAGTGAAGATGGCTCGTTAAAGCACGTACGCCACAGAGAGTCCACAAGATGCCTTTCTTCCCTGGCTGCCCCAAGGTCCTCGGCTGACATTGAACCAATACCATTTATCCGTTCTTGAAGAAGTTGCTTCATCTTATCATCGTCTTCCCCTAGTATGCTAGGGGCACCGTCTTTCTCATTGCGAGCCAGCTCAAGAAGGCCTCGAAGAGCAGCTTCCCTGACATCTGCATCTTCGCTGGAGGCAAGGTGTATCATCAGACGAGGAAATCCTAGTTCTTGCAGTATGCTGCGGTCTGAACTATTCTCATGCAACAGGTAATGGATCAAGTTCAGAGCTTTCCTGAGAGATGGCAAGACAAGATTAGAGTCTCTAATCAACAAGGATCGGCGGGTTATAGATAATAGAATAGGGACAAAACATGAAATTAACTTTCAGCTCCATAAACAGAAAATATCAGCTTCATATTGTACAGATCAGTATTTGCTGATGTTAAACATCCGTTAATTACCTTTGAAACCTCACATTTTCAGAGGATAAGGCTTCTTTTAAGGACGCATAACCATTTGCAAGCCGAAATGCAGTGATGCCTTTTTTGTTGTGATGAATCAATGCTGAAAAGTCATTCCCAGAGCGAAACAAGTCAAGAAAAAAAAAAAAAAATTCCAAACTCAGGAACAAGATAGCACTGCCACAAAACCACTAAGCATACTTACAAGATATTGCACCAAGTGCCTTAGTTCGAACTTTCACATCAGGATCTGAACTCAAATTAGCAATAAGAGGTTCAAAACCATTTGCTTTCATAACCCGTTCCTGACTTTGTGGGTTATTCTGGACTATTGTGGTCACAACATCTGCAGCCTTTGCTCGAATATTTGCATGAGGGTTCTTAAGGTAACCAAGAAGAGGAACCAAACCACCAATAGAGTCAAGATCTGGGACACAGATAAATAAAGAAGAGGAAACGGTTCAGGCACACTGTTTCAGACAGATAAAAATATATATCCAATGACTAGAATCTGTTGCTACAATATCTTTGATTCTTTCCTTCGTCAAAAACAAGAGAAAACATAGGCAAAAAATAATCTTTTCTTTTCTGTTTTTTTGGGCCCAATAGACAGTAATCTGACTCACCAAAATAAAAGGAAAAAACAAACAAATTTTTGGACTAACGAGGGCACAATCCATGAAATCTTTGTCAGCCACTAATATCATCGCATGGTAACATAAGGTCGTAAGAAGAATGAATTAAACTTTCAAGGGGAAGGTACAAAAATTAACAGTTGATCATCCATTAAAAAAAATGTTTACCATGATACATTTCACAATATTTTGACCAACAAAGCCAAAAGTAATGAACTTTATTTCTTATTTGGTTATACATTATGAACATGACATAAAAAATAATCTTAATTCGTTAATGGGTGATACAATATGAACATGACATAAAATCAAGCGTCAAGCTTCTTCGGCATGCAGGGGATAATGCACAGAAGCTGCTAAAAATCAGTTTCAATATAAGAACCTTCTATTGGCAACTTCCAAAGCCAACATGTGCAAGTATTCTGCATATGAACAATATTTACATTCCTTCGAAGAAATACAAGAAGCAGGAGGGGAAAAAAAACCATTACCATTTGCCATGTCTATGGATTCCACATGTTCTTGCAACTCATCCAGCATATCTGTCGACCGGAGAAGTCTCAGTATGAGATTAATGATAAGAACTAAAGCAATCCAAAAACACCAAAAAAAAAAAAATCGTTTCCAGACGTTGTTTTTTGGGCTAGTATGAATGTCGGATACCTTCAATTTCAGCAGGGGTAACTCCTTGAGCCTCCAATTCTTGCTCTGGAGTTTTCATAACAAGAGTAATCTCTTTCATACGTTTTATGACATCAACAGTCTGCGCTTGCATCGCTTCCATAAACCATCTTCGGTCCTCCTCACTAATGACAAACAAAGCAAAATGCATCAGACCCCTCATTCGTATTTAAATTCAAATTCAAGAACAAATATTGACTTTAAGAAAAAAAGTTCTCTATCAAAGTATGCATTTTTTACAATGAGAACTAAATAAAAAAAGAAACTTTCACAATCATATTGACCGGAATCCATAATCAGAGAAATAAAATACACACCTTAAATTGCCAGTAGGTCGAGTTCCATCAGAATGAGCGAGACTCCATTTGAGCAACCCTTCCCAGTTGGGTCCGTCTTTGGCCATGTCTAGGTTAATTGTAAAAGAAAATCGCCAAATACCTTGATCAGAAGCAAGCAACGATACTTGAAAGCTAGAAAGGAATGAATAAGTTTCAAAACCCGTGTGAAATTCAGATATATAGCAGCAAATTGGCAACTGATTCACGAACCTTCTCCAGTATTCAAGAGAATGGTGGACGGAGGAAAGGTACGAACCGAAGACGGAGGCGCTGAAAGCCAGAAACTTGGAGGTTGTGGGCCTCACAACACATGGCCCAATAAACATGTTAGCCCAGCTTGTAAATACAACGTTGTAGAAAACAGTCAAAAAATAGTGCTTTGGGCCAGGTTTTAGAATGTGTTTTCGGTTGAATCCGGAATTGGGCTGTCGTAGATAAGGATTAATGATGATAGAGATAGAGACGTCTTTGGAAAAGCCAATAGACACCAGTGCACCACAATACTTGATCTTGACCCAATCAAATAAAATTATAAATAGGTACATTTCTCTACATGTGTTACGTGAATTTGAGGAGAACTATTTGTCCAGTCACTGCCTTGTAAGGCTGTCTTCCAGCGTTGATGGTGTTTTGAGGAGAACCTCCTTTAATTGTGCGTGGATGTCTATGTATGAATATCATGTATCTCTATCTAACATGAACTTTTTGTAGAGTGTATTGTATATTATCTATTCGTTTGTAGACACAAGCACATGTGGTGTGGTGATATCATCCCACATTAAACAGACAATATAATAGCAGCCCATGTAACGAGTTCTTCTCTTCACATATAAATGTTTTCTTGAGGCTTATGTTTCCTGTCAATTTCACTTCTTTTACTTTGAATTTCTTTTTTTTTAATCGTAATTTATAGAGGAACGTGAAAAGAGTTTTGTTTTAATTTTCGCAAAACATGTTTAGAAGCACCTAAGTAATCCGAATAAGTATTACATCATATCAAGTTCCTATGACAGAAAAATTTTTCTTGCTTAAATTAGAGAGCAGGTATTAAAGGGATTGGCTAATGGTGGAAATTCTATTTAGAAAAATTTGTGCCTTTTCCTATCTCTTATCCATTTTCTTTTTTCAACCAAATATGTTTGTGTACTTTTCTCTAGTGGCCCAACCAACTAACTCCACCCTCATCTTCATAGTAAACATTACCCCAAACAAAAAAAAAAACAAAGAGATATATTTTAGCTTTGATTAATTGATTTCCTAGTAATTTGAAAATCGCTAACACCTCCACCGTCAATATAATACTATCCCTTTTTGGGCCCATGTGAATATTGGGCTGGAATATAATATATTCTCTTACAAGATTCCTATCTTGTAAAGGAGGGAAAAATCAAGGAATTAGTACATCATATTAGCTCATTTGGTCATGTATATATTTTTAAATGACAATTTGGCCTTGCAATTATCCCCAAAAATCGAAGATTAGTGCATAATATAGCTAATTGAAAACATTTTTATGGAGGTTCTAAGATTATGAACTTTGTTTCTAATTAATTTTTAAATATATTAGAACCTGTCCGTGTGTTTTATTTATCAGATTGATAAAACTTACTATAATTGACAAAAAGAAACTGTTGGCAAAAAAAATAAAAGATAAAAAAAACTAATTGAATTAATTGAAAATTATTGCACCAAATAAAACTGATAATGTGGATTGGACTCACGGGTTTAACCTACCAACCCACCAAAATGACGAGTTAAGGTTAGCTAAAGGTTAATTTATAGTAAAAAGTCTTTTCAATCTATATGCTTGGTCCAAAACCTATAGGGTGTCTAATCCACATTTATTTTACTTATTTAAAATTTTTAATTACTATAATTATATATTATATATTATATCCTATCTAAAAAATTTTAAAAAATACATATTAATTTATTTGGTGCTTTTAGTAAAATATTTCAAGAAAAAAAAACAAAAATTTATTATTATTATTATTATTATTTGATATTATAATTAACACGTCTTCAACAAGCTTTCTAACACTACCTAGATGGGTTTAACTTGTTACGGACTAACTCGTGAGTTGACTCGTGACCCCCAGCGTCTGACCTTGTTGATTAATCAAGTTTATTTTTTATTTTTTTTTTCATTTTGAAGTAAAGGGGAAAAAGAGAGAAAATAATTAAAGGGATAGTGCTTCAAAAATTTTTGGCTTTTTATCCCTCCGCATGAGGCATTTTGGTAATTACGAGAACGAAAAGGACGACTTTCTTTGTGCTGCACTCACGCTGATTTCTGTGCCAATAATTGAATTAAATAAACTCCGTCTAACATTAATTAATTAAGTTCATTTTTGAAAGTTAAATTCTTCAAAAGCTTCAATCCACGAACAACGCGCTTTCCTTTCAAGTCAGGATAGCATCCTTTATTTATTCTTCTCCCACTTTCCATTTTCGCTTTGTTCGTTTTCACGCTTCAAAGCATTTGGTTTGGAATCTGCGTTCGATTACCAAATTTTGAGGTTTTTTCTGGGAAAAATTAGGGTTTTTTATTCAATATTTGTATTAAAGGTGCAAGAGAATAGATTTGGGATTTTTTTTTTTTGGTGTTGATTGTTGCTCAGTGAGGGTTAGCGAAGTTCTTGCTCGATCTGGTTTATCATGGCTTCAGTGGGATCATCCTATTGGTGCTACAGATGCAATCAGTCTGTTAGGGTTCGAATTGGGGCTGAAGAAACCTTGCTTTGCCCTGATTGTGGGTCTGGCTTTATAGAAGAATTCAGGACTCGTACTCACTCTCCTTTCCATCGATTCCCGTCGCCATCAGTGTACGTCGACGACGAGTCTAGCTCCGAGCAAGGAGCTAGCCCTAGAATCCGCCGTGGCCCGAGGAAACGCAGGCGATCGATCCCCTTTTAACCCAGTTATTGTCCTCAGTGGACCCGCCGATGGCGGTGGCGGTGGAAATGAAGGGGTTGGTATTGAAAGAGGGAACTTTGAGCTTTATTACAATGAAGGTACAGGTTCGGGTCTTCGGCCACTTCCTGCAAGCGTCACTGATTTCTTAATGGGTGCTGGATTTGACCACCTTCTTGACCAGTTGACTCATTTAGAAGTCACGGGAATCGGACGTTTACATCAAACTCCAGCATCAAAATCTGCAATTGAATCGATGCCCATAGTCAAGATTGTTGCCACACATGTTTCGGCGGAATCACATTGTGCAGTTTGTAAGGAACCCTTCGAGCTTGACTCGGATGCTCGTGAAATGCCTTGTAAGCACATTTACCATTCCGATTGTATCCTTCCATGGCTTTCAATTCGTAATTCATGTCCAGTTTGTCGCCATGAGTTACCTACTGAGATGCGTGGGAGTAGTAGTGGCAGAAACTCTCCCGTATCTGACGGTGGAAGGGATGATCATACTGTGGGATTAACTATATGGAGACTACCTGGTGGCGGTTTTGCTGTAGGAAGGTTCACGGGTGGAAGAAGAGCTGCCGAACGTGAACTTCCTGTTGTATATACAGAAATGGATGGTGGATTCAATAGTGTGGGTGTTCCACGGAGGATATCTTGGGAAGCGAGTGTGAGGAGATCAAGGGAGACTCGGGGATTAGGTAGTGCTTTCCGGAACTTCTTCTCACACTTCGGGTGGCTTAGGACTTCCTTCTCTCGTTCTTCCAGAACTGATTCAAATGTGAGCCGAAGAACTCGATCCAATACAATATTATCTAGATTCTCAAGAAGGCGCAACTAGGCCTGGTCTATGGATAATACATATGGTCAAACTTCATATTCTGTTTTCTTCTTCTTTCCCCTCAGAAATATAATTAAATTTTTATTTTATATTGTATCATTTGTGACCATAACTCCATAGTTTCCTCTGTTCAGTGAGGAGGTAACTTCAAATTGTACGACTCACAATGAATTGAGGATGCGCCTTTAAATTTTATGACTCATATATGATAAACAGCTCTGGAGTCTGGAGTTACTGCATTAAAATGGGGGAAGGATAGAATTTTGGAATTTGTACGTGGTAAGATTTTGTTAGAATGGATGAAGTTGTGCAGTTAAGGTGGGCCTTAGAATTATGGAATTTGAAGTGCTAGTGAAGTTTAAGGGGAGCCTAAGTTGCTGAAGTAAGGCACCACAAGGGACCCTTGTTTGTTGATGATCAGGGTGGGTGCCTTCAGCCAGTTGCATGCCTTTGCCAAATTTGGCTGCCTTGCCGCCTTTATTTCGGAATCATTATGGATCACGTTGCATCCACAGTGAGATCTTAGTTTTTGCATTTCGTGTGATCATTTTTCAGATAATACAATTGAAGGTGCTGAAATTCAAGTTCTGAATTTATTTTAAGCTTATCCCCCCCATTGCTGCTAATTGCTAGAGTTTTATTCTGTCCAGACAAGCTGTGTGAGGCCTAATTTCCATCAGGCTGGGTCAGACTGAAAGTAAATGGTTTCAGAGAGAAAATTGTTTCTTTTCGGTCTTTTTTTTTTGGGGGGGGGGGTGTTTCAAGACATTGAGTTGTTTGATTTATGTCACTTTTGCATAAAAATCCAATGAGTCTCAAGCAATTTATCTTTTAACAGATATTGAAATTGTGAATCAATTATAGCAATAGCTGATTAAAAGAATAAATTTTACACGATACATATGAGTAACATGTTTCTGATGAGTATTTCGGGGCTGCCTCATGTTATCTGTTTGTCTTGTGATCATACTTCATCTCTAACATTTACTATTTTTTATGAAGTGTATACTTTAGCAGTTAGCTTGTGTGATAATTTTATATTCCAATAACTATATATTTAGTCATTCATTGTTTACCATAATTTTTAAACCCTCCTTTTGGCATCTTCCTTTCATTGGCAAGCATCCTATCCCCTTGTCATGACCATATGCTTTTTCTTGGTTGATGCAACTTGGTATTCCATATTTTTTGCTTTACTTTTCCAGTATCAGTCTCTTTCTAACTTCTTTATCCTTGTGATTGGTATACGTAGATAAAAGCTTTTCGTCCTTTACACACTCATACCCTCATACCACTACTGAATGAGAAAATTGCATTTTTAAGTAGCACCTATCTATGAAGGAGTAGGCTATAAGGGGCATAGATCTCTGCCTGGTACTGTGCTTTCCATTGCTTATTTTGGCAGATTCTGATACATTAATGATATTGTTGAATGCATTCAGAGTTAGGATGCCTTTCTTGTTGATTTTGGGTCTTCAATTCCTTGCCTGATGGCTTATATTTGGAAATTTCTTCATCATTAGAGTGTTAAACAGGAAACAGTCGTGTTTTATTTTTGACTCATGCGTAGGTTATTGTTGTAGCATGTTCCCATTGATGGTTTAACTCATGCAATATTTTATCAAATTCTTTGAAATTGAAGGCTGTTAATGGGCTACTTATAGTTTTGATCCCCCTGGTCAGCATTACCTGCGTCCTTCGGAAATTGCATACCTGTTATCCTGTTTGAGTCGACATATGATCACATTTTATAAATAATACATTGCAATATCTGCAGTTCGTGGGTAATGCTACCTTATTTTCGAAGCAGATAATTGTAAATAGAAATATAGGATATAATCAATTCATTATTTAAAGGAACTAAGTGATGACATCAGAAATTTGAGACCATAAACTTGCTCCCCTGTTTTGCAATTTGACTATATTTCTCTGTCTTTTAAGTGAGTGACACACTGACAGAATTCATTTATTGGTATCCTTTCTCATGTACAAGGAATATCGTTCTATCCTATCGCTTTGTGTTGCTAAATTTTAAGATCACGATGGCTCAAGAGCTCAAGTTTATTCATGATCTCGGGAAAATATTTGCTTTTGAGTGGACAGTGCAGTATCTATGAGGGAAACTGCATATTGGTTGGTGGAATATGTGACTGACCATGCAAGGTTTTTAATGACGGCTGATTTATTGTATAGCTTCCGACATACTATCTGGCTTCTTTGAAAATACCTAGTATCACTATTGTTCAGGGGTTTGCGGCAATAATAAATGTCCACGGCTCAATTATTTGCAGGCCACGAATGGTTCAATTAGTTTTTAGACGGCAATTCACCAGGTTTGTATCTAGTTACATCTAGTTGTGGTAGCTTTTATGAGTCTGTCTGATGGCTGACAGGATACGAATTAGAAGTCTTTGTTAATGTTGATGGTAATTATGTTGTTTAGCCTTTTTCAGTTAGCTGATAGGATAGAAAGTTGAGTATAAGGCTTACATACCATCTAATTTTGTTGCGACATCATAATTCATACCTAATGAATTGAGAAGTGCTACCAAATTATTAGGATAGGAGCTGGCTTGGGAAGGTCTTGTTCTCTGGTTGTGGCAAGACAGGAGGCAGGTTATATAATTTTAATATTATGGGCCTAATTAGCTCCATTGTATTTTTTTTAATTTTAAATTTTGTTTGTGATTTTCTCGTAGCAATTGTGAAGCGTCTAATGGATCATTCCAATCAAATTCAATGTACTTGTAATGAAAATTTGCTTTCGATACAATGAGTAGCGCACCTTTTCGAACTTATCAATAAATTGAGCCATGATTTTACCATCATGGTATAACGTTTGAGAAGCAACAATCAGGACACGTTCAGAGCAGGTTTGAATTATATTAGGTGGAGGTGCTTGCTGGATTTTATTTTCTCGGTACATGTAACATTTTGATGTTATTTTTTTTAATTGTATTCAGCATCATAATCTTTAGGGTGCTAAATGCACTAAAAATAAGATTAGGGTGTTGAAAATAAGATTAGGGTGTTGTGTCAGAGGCACTAAAAAAAAAAAGATTGAGTGTTAGATGTATTATAAAAAAGATGAGTGTTGTGTGGATCTTTATCCAATTACTATATTTGGTTCTTAATATAAGATCTCGTTTGATTTTTATTTTGATTCTAAATATAAGATTCCAGTTTACTTTGTCTTTCATATTTATGTATCTTTTTCAAAGTATTCCTTCTAATAAGGGTAATTATAGCCAACACACTTGATTAGTAGGGATATTTTAGGGAAGACAATACCTATATATTACAAATAACTAACTTAACTTATTTTTTTAATCTTTTCAAATCAGTCAACTAGTTCTTATAATTAAGACTGAAAGGAGTATATTTCAAAAAGATATTCAGCATAGGTTACCAAATTTTGATTTTTATAGAAGTTTTCTCGACTTCTATAACATGTACAAAGTTAATATGAGGCGCGAGGATTCAGAGTATGGACATGATTTTGCCAGAGGGGATCCGTATCTTCTTAAAGTTCATGTTTACTTCCTATTACTTCTGGTCCTAATTATAAAAACCAATTGACTAATTGGAAGAAATTAAGAAAGTAAGTTGAGTTAGTTATTTGTCCTAAATATGTGTTGTTTTTTTTAAGATATATTTACTAATCAAGTGTATTGATTAAAACTATCATTATTAAAAAGACTGTTTTAGAAAAAAATGTATAAACACGAGAGAAAAAGTGGATTGGGGTCTTATATTTAGAAGCAAAATAAAAGTCAAACAGGATCTTATATTAAAGAGGTAGTATATGAATTAAAAATAAAATAACAATAATAATTATTATTATTATAGAGGTCAAAACCATGACCTTGGATATGGGTCGCAATTCTGGACTTTCACGTCAAGTGTTATGAGTTGCGACTAAATGATGCGAGCCATCATGTTGCATTTTTAATCTCCATATGTAAATTTGAAGTCCATATTAATTTTAATTTGACGCCCGGTAGCTAGGGAAAAAAATGACACCAGGTTGATTGTGTTTAATGCATTGGGAAAACTAGCAAGGAGGTCCTTATGTTTTTGTCCCATTTTGAATCAAGTCCCTAGAGTTATCTTTTTTTTATTTAAAATAAGATGTTTGATGTTTCAACCGTTCCATCCGTTAATTCTGCTGTTTAAAAAAAAAAAAAAGTTAGTACTCTTTCCGTTTTTTATTATACTCCTCCGGTCCTAATTATAAGACCCAATTGACTTATTTGAGGAGATTAAGGAAGTAAGTTAAGTTGGTTATTTATCATAAATAAGTGTTGTCATTCCTAAAATATCCTTGCTAATTAAGTATATTGGCTAAAACTATCATTATTAGAAGGATTATCTTGGAAAAAAATGCATAAATATAAGAGACAAAATGGATTGGGTCTTATAATTAGGACCAAATAAAAAGTCAAATTGGGTCTTATAATAAAGACCGGAGGAGTAATATCCTTTTAACAAAATTACGTGATTTAAGAAAATAGTTAAAATTAATTAAAAACAATTAATATGTAGTAAATGCAATTTTTTTTCCAAATATATCTCTATATATAAATAGTTAAATATGAAAAATAATAGTGAGATAAATAAATAATAATAATGTATTAAATACATTAAATTAAGGGTAAAATAGGTAACAATATATTAAATGTTCAGACAAACTCAAAAAAGATCTTATAAAAAGAAACAAATCCATTGGAGTATGGAGTTAAACGCAGTTGACATGGTGGACAAATATATCAAACATGGCAACCCATTATCTTATGTTCATTTAAATGTGAAATTAAAAAGAGATTCAGTTTTCTTCATCAAAAAAAAAAAAAGAGATTCAGTTTTCTTTCCAAGTTCAAGAAATGGATTGTCGGTCTTCTCGAGTGAAAGAGAAACGGTTGCCACGTTTGATACACTCGTCCACCATGTCAGTATCCTCAACGGCATTTTACTCCATATTAACCTTCTTTTTAAACAGAAGGGTTTACTGATAGACTAGTAAAAACATCAAGAATCTGATAAAATAGAAAATAACTCTACGCACTTGATTTAAAATGGGACAAAAATATAAGGAC